TAGCTACTCTGTTAATAGTGCTAGTCTTCCAAGACTGATATAGAGGTGACTAATATTCTGCAAAGTCCAAGCAGCAAAATAAAAGCAAGGATTTACTTTCCTGTTTCTACCAAAACATTAATTCTAACTAATATCTCACCTACTCTGGTCTAAAAGACTGGACATTCAAAGAGATTTTTTTTCATATACTGTCCAAAATTGATAAGGTTTCTGGATGTTATAAGTATGAAGTTTGTAAACTGAGATTTTAGACTTAAAGGTATCTATCCCACAAACACACAATTCACCACTTACTGCAGTCATCTTAGAACCATACACCTTTCTACCAAACAAAAATAAAGGCTTAGTTACGCAGGGGAATTGATTGGCATAGCTATAATGCAGGGTTTCCCAAATATAGGTCGCCATTACATTTCAAAAGGGTTGCCAAGTGCCTTCCCAGGTGGCTCTGCCCATCCTCCCTCCTCCCCCCATTTTTGAATTGCCTTGGGTCACCAAGTCTTCCTGAATTGTCAAAATGGGTCCCCATCTGGAAAACGTTGGGAACCACTGCATAATGGAATAAAATATTCCGTTACAGCAGGGGAGGGGAACCTCAGGCCTGGGGGCCAAATATGGCCTGCTGCTTGCCTGGATGTGGCCCGAGACTCAGAGCCACCCCCCCAGCTTTGGGGAGCCTGCGCTGGCATTCCAGCCCCACTGCTGTCCCATCACAGGGCTGGAAGTAGGGATGTTAGCAACCAGTTGCTTCCCCTTTCTCCTCTGCCTCTATCAGAAATAAGCAGCAAGGAGGGGAGCCAGCTCAAAAGGCTGTTTCCCTCAGCACCATCTCTGTGAGGGGCAGGGGAGGAAGCAGGAATCAGGTGCGACCTGGGAATCAGCTGCCCCGGCTTGCGACGGGTCCCCCTGATGCCCTTCAGCCTTTAAAATGTATTAAAAGCCTGCCATCTATTAACACGTTTAAAAGGCAGAGCTGCAGCGGGGATAGCTCCCAGGGTGGGCTTGGAAATTCCACCAACTAGTCGATTAGTTGATTAAACTAATTTTAACATCCCTAGCTGAAAGCACAGAAAACCTACTACGCTAAGCCCCCCAAGGCTCTAGTGTGCAAAGGGAATGTGGAGAGAGTGTTTTTCTCCTCAGTTGGGGGCCATGTTAGTGAGGGGGTTGGGTTTTTTTGTTTTGTTTTTCTTCTCTTGTGTGCAGCCTGCGACTGATTTTTCTGTGGGTCAGCAGCCCCCAGCCCAAAAATGGTTCCCCACCCCAGCATTATAACTATACAAGAGTTACTTTTTTCAGAGTAGAATAACTCTGCACAGGGTGTTATTCCACTACAGCAGTAGTTCTCAAACTTTTTGGCCCATGGTCTACCATGCTCAATTCAGACCTTTCCATGGACCATAAGCCAACCATCCATGATGACAAAATGGGTGCAGGAGGGGATGGGATGCAGGGTCTGGCCAGCAAGTAGGATGCAGGAGCAGGCTCTGGGTGGGAGAATCTGGGAGGCAGGTAGTAGCAGGGTGGGGTGGAGAGTTGGGGAAGGAAGGAGGGTGCAGAAGCAGGCTGCAGGTGGAGGGGGTTTGGGAGGGAAGTTGGGTAAAGGAATGGGCTTAGGTTAGAGGATCTGGGAAGGAGCGAAGGTGTAGGAGCGGAGTATGGGGTCTGGATGGGAAGAAGGGTGCAGGAGCAGGCTGGGGGTGCAGGGTCCGGGAGGGAGGGAGTGGATGAGGGGTGCTTATGCGGCTCTGTGCCTTTCGTTGCTCTGAGGCATCATTTCCTGCTGCTGCCACTGGCCAGGATTCTAGCCAATGCAAGCAGCAGGGAAGCCTGTAGGTGAGTGGTTTCCTGCTGCTGTTTCCATAGTTGAGGGGGAGGAAGAGTGGCAGCTACTTCCTTCCCCTGCAAGTTGGATCTGGCCTACGCCTCACCTTCTTCCCCAACAGTGGGAAGTTGGTACCGGCACTCCAACCTTGTGAGAGTTAGGTGGGGTGCTGGAGCACCAGCTCAGATTTCCCACTGCGAGGGAGAGGCAAGCCCCAAGCCTGTGGTCCACCTGCAAAATGATCTTGGACCGCTCCTGAGAACTGCACTTCAGTTTTGCCAGTCTAGTTCCTCATATGGACAAGCCCCGAATGACAATTTTGTATTTTTAAAGCACTGAACAAATACTAACTAAAATCTCTCAACACTCCTATGCGAACTATTAGGGATTTCCAGTTCACAAAAGAAGAAACAGGGGGTAGAGACAGGGCCTGCTTGGTACTACATCATGACACAAATGCACTTTACTGAACTAAGGAGGTTGTGGATTCCAATTGACTAGATCGGTAGAAATTGTGTGTGTCACAGAATGGATAAAACTAATTTTTGGTGGCAGGATGCACCTGCCAACATTTGAACAGTAAACAAGCATTGGTAGTGGTGTGAGAAGAAACCATTGCTCTCACCCTACAAGGAAAGGTATAGTGATGCAGGTAAGCAAAAAAAGGCAGGGATATGGGAAAAAATTAACAGACCACATACTGTAGGTGCCTGGCAGCCCTGATACTCTCTCTCCCTCTCTCTCTCTCTCACTCTCAACATCTACTGAAAATGCTGCTGCTGGGATCATCTTCTTGGACTGCCATTCTGACTATATTAACCCTCTCTCTTTGCATCCCCTCTAATGCTCCTCCCCTCCCCCTACCAAATCAATCACAAGTTCTTTGCCTTTAAGGCCCTTAACTCTTTATCCCTATTCTATATATAAGATATATTACATTACTCCCCCAATATCATTATCTCATAGACACTAACCTTCCCCCTGAGCCCTCCTCTGTTCTAAAATCTGATTTGTCAATTTTATGTGTGTTCACTTTTGATTGTATCACTTTGGTATATATGATCAAGCCAATTTTCTTCCACAATTTGATCTGAGAAGTGGGTCTGGCCCACGAAAGCTCATCACCTAATAAACCATCTTGTTAGTCTTTAAAGTGCTACATAGTCCTGTCTTTTGTTTCACTCTGCTAGTAATGGCAACCTCGATTGACCACTTATGCGCTTCTTTCTCAAGTACCACTAAATTTTCTCCCATATACTTCCCACGCATGGGAAAAATCCCCATCAATTACTGTAAAACTCCACCTTATCTTCTACAAAAACTACCTCTCTACCCTGATGCTGACAAATCATTCAGATCTGGCATTGGCTAGGAAAGTGCCAAGTGATGACTGCAGTTTTTCTGCTAAACATCCTTCTAACCCACTCTTCAGCCAGCATGTCTGTTTCATCCAATAGTTATATCCCATCTGTCACATCAATTGTGAGTGCACTCAGGCAGAAACTGTTGTCTTTGTTACATGTCTAGACAGCGCCTATCACAACAGGCTCCTACTCCATAATTGAGGTTCCCAGGCAACAGCGTAGTACAAATAAAATATCTACCTAAACAACACTCCACCTGTCTCTCATATAACATGGTATTGGCAGACCACTTATGACAGACTCTAGCAGTGTGATAATATTGAAAAAATGTGCTAATCAACAAAAATAATGTTAAAATAATCATTTGTACCAACTCATAGTCCTCCTTCATGTTTAGGTATGACAAAACAGGTAATTTTTTCTTATAAAAACGGAATGGTGAAATCAATAAATGTAGATTGTGATTAACTATGCAGTTCACCTGTTTATATTTCAGTAACTAGAAATGGACAGTATAAACCCAATTTTCACTTTTTTTTTAAACTATCAATTCTTTGAAGTTTCTTCTCAAATGCTTCACTACCATAAAGAAGTTACTTGACATGTGACTTTTTGGGTTTTCTTGAAAATATAGAGAAGTCTGGCAAGAAGTTTGTGAGAAATTGGGGGGGGGGAGGGAGGAGGGGAAAGAGGAATCAAATAAATTGTAATTATTTGAAACATATCTCAAAAAACAGGTGGTATAAAACCATCACATTTAGCTTAGTTTATTTGGTTATACTGAACGAGTGGTTCCTGTGAATATTTGTTGGAAATCTTGAATTTGTCACACTTTGGTTCTATTGAACAATTCTTGCCAAATTTTACTAACCTACAATTGCTCTAGAATAGACGGTTAAAAACATCTGCAATTGAACGATGACAAGATATAATGCTACCTTTGATATAAGATTCATATTGGTATTTATATCATGCATAGCTATTTGTTTTTGTTCTTCTGCTTACTCCTTCTCTCTTGGAATCTTTTTGTAAGACTTCTTGTCTCCCTTTCCAAACCTGAAAATTTCCTACATAAGATATTTCTCCCTCCCCATAAACTTCATTCACATATCTTTATTTTAAGTTCATTCTAACCGATACTCGCAACTATTCTTGAACCAAACTCATGAGAGAAAGCCTTACACCAAAACACCAACCATCTTTAACAGTGAGGGCATGTTTACACTAGGAAATTATTTTGAAATAACTAAATGACTTAACTCTCGGTTTTTACAAATTCAAACTAATGTATACCTACTGCAAGGGAAGCCTCAAAATTTGTTCGAGGCAGGCTCCATTAATGTTGATATGCTACCACGACTTAGAGGCCCAAGAAGCACTGGGGAGTAGTTATTTCGAAACTGCAACATTAAAGCGTCCACCCTAATGCTATTTCAAAATAACTTTTGAAATTAGCATTCTTCCCTGAGGAAAGTGGAATTACAGATTTTGAAATAAGTGGCCCGTTATTTCAAAATAATGGCTTGGTAGTGTGGATGCTTCGCTTATGAATTCAACCTAATGGGGGTTATTTCAAAATAACACCCTAGTGTAGCCCAGGATTAATAGTGATGAGACACACTCATCATACAATACCACACGAATGAATGCATTCCCAAATTATCCCACACAACCACAAATTATCCTAAAATTCATGTGTTTATTTAATTTATCTTTGCCAACTATAGCATTAGGATGACAAAGCATATGAAAGAAAAGTGATAAATATGTAATTGGTAAATACAATATATTACAAAATATTAGGAACCTACGTTTTGGCAGTGACATCCACAAACTGCCCTGGGCGGAAGTGAGCTGCATACAGGGGTGTACCTTAAAAAGGATGGAATATATATCATTCAGTTAAGAGCTGAAACATGAACCATTATCCTGTCAAAATAATTTAAAATAGGAAATATTTTAACTTAAATCATTATTCTTTTAAAAAATTATTTAAAAATTACATATGACTATTTTTTCCCATATTATAGTATTCAATTGCTAAACTGGAATTTTTGTTCTTGTGTCCCAATACATACAATTTCAGATTTTACACAGATTTTTTACAACTAAAATGTTCACCTTTAAGATGCTCATCTATGCTGAAAAAGGCAAATCAAGGATCCTTAATATCTTTACTGAGAGAATAAAATAAACTAAAACCACAAAATATGCAAATAGCCACAAACATAGCACAGAGTATCACATTTTCAGGTACTTTTTTACCCTGATTTTTTGCTTCTATTTTTGAAAATTGTGGGTTGTGTGTATAAAAACATTTTAAATAACTCTGTTAATGTATTGTACAACTAAATAGCTTTTCAGTGTTAACAATGAAGCAATTTATTTTGATATGACCAAGATGATGACGCAAAGAAAAAAGTTTTTAATACAAATATAATTTTAGCCTGTGGTTCTGCAAACACAATGCATTGCTAATTAAGTTAACGCACAGTCCTATTAAAGAAAATGGGACTTCATGTTGAATCTTCCTTGTCCAGCACCCTTGGGACCTGATCCATCCCAAAGGAGGGAATTTGCTGGAAATGGGAAGGTCCCTGCCACCAGTCTCTCAGGACTTCCCCCTCCCTGCAGCTGGCTCTGCTTTGGCCCCACTGCCACTGAGCTCCAGCCTGCAGGGCTTGAACTTGGGCTCCAGCCCACTGGGGCTCCCCAGGGACAGGGTTCCCCAGCCACTGTGGTCCCTCTTCTCCCCCACCCAACCAGGAATCACCAGGAATGGGGCTTGCCAGCTGTTCCATTTCTGCCACGCTCTGCTGGGGATCCCTGAGACGGCACTTGCTGGCTACCCCACTTCTGCCACGTGCCACTGGAGATCCTTGGGATAGGGCTTGCCAACTGTCCTGCTTTTGTCACTGGCTCTCTCACTACTACCCCGCCCAGCAAAAGCTTCCAGAACGAGGCTTGCCGGTCCCTCTGCTGTCCCGCCTAATCAGAGCTCCCAGCTGGATTGCACTCCCAGGTGCCAGGGCTCTCTGATCCAGCAACATATGTGGTCCTGCCGGATTTTGGAGGTTCAACCTATACTCATATAAGTAAAATTACTTATCTGCTTAAGTGCTTTCAGGATCCAGATCTTAGCTTACAATATTTTGTTTTTTACTTATAGCAGTCCTATAAACTTTGAAAACACAACCAATAGTGGCATTTAAAAAAAATGCTTTTATAATTTACAGAAGAGTAGTTGTGTTAGATTGTTTCAGCAAAAACAAAGAGAAGTTCTGTGGCATCTTAAAGACTAACACATTTATTTGGGTATAAGCTTTCATGGACTAGAGTCCACTTTGTCAGATGCATAAACTTCAGTATTTATATCATTCATGTTCATTCTTTTTTGTCCCTCTGCCCACTCTTCTTGTCTTGCAATGGTTTTTGTAAAATTCCTCTTCTCCCTTTTCCAACTTAAAACAATTTCTTACCGAAAACGTTTTTCCGATTATAGACTTCATTCACATATCTTTTTCCTTACCAAGTTACTTCTCAGAAGATAGCAGTAGTTATTCATACAGGAAGAGCCTCTGGCCTCACTTTGCACTGCAGTTCACCTAAATCAGAAAACCTACCTGGGATTTTGACAAGCATTGAGAAGCACTGCAAACCAGTTAATGAAGTTTTCATTTCATGCATCTAACAAAGTGGGCTCACACCCACGAAAGCATATGCCCAAATAAATGTGTTAGTCTTTAAAGTGTCACAGGATTTCTCATTATTTTTCACAAATTTAGATCTTAAAACATTTTAATCTAATTTTGTAATACCAAATTCATTCTTAAATTATCTTAAATTGCTTCATTCTATTAATGTCAGATTGGTCAGTGAATGGAGATAGGGATGATGTGACCATCTACTAAATCACCAAGCAGAAAAAATGCCTACATTATTTATTTATACTACATGAAGTGTAAATAAGTAAGCATACTAAGTCAGAAAACAAAGGCAAATAATCAAAAGAAGAGAGGAAAGATGGAGGATGCTGCAGTAATGTGTGGTAAATATTTAGGACTCTGAATGCTTCTAACTTTCAGCCTTTGCTTCAAATATCTGATATTCTCCATATTTTGCACTGGATAGTACTAATGAGTAGCTGCAATAAAATCTAAGATCTGTTCATAGACTGTCTCTACTGGCAACCAAAGAAGCCACAATACTGCCTTAATAAAACCAATTAAGTCGTCTATTGAAATGCCCGAAGCAAAATTACTTTGGCAAAATATAAGCAACCCAAATTCACACATGAATAAATCCTGAAACATTTAAAACAATTTTTATGGAAGTTAAATCTCCAAACCTGATTCAAAAACAAAATTCTTAATGGAAACCAAATGCACCATTTTGTTGAATCCTTTTTGCCTCAGATAATATAAAACAATGGCATTTCAAGAGGTACCTAATTTATCTTAACCAGAGGAGCACAGAGAAGACGGAAAACTCTTAAATGGCAACTTTCCCAACTTCCTGCAAAACATCAATTATGGTGTCCTTATAAGACCTCCAAAGTCCTTTAGGGAAGTGTACTCACAATCATGTCTAACATGGATTCACATTTTAGCCATTTTGCACTGAATAACTTTTCTAAGGGGTGGAACTGATTTACTACAAAAAGAAGATATGCCAGAAGACAACAATTTTGTTCTCCACCCAGGGGAAAAAAAGGCCATTTTCTATTTTCTTATTTTCAAAGATTTGATATGGCCCCATTGATTGTGGAGAAATTACTTTTTAATTAATTTTCCTACTTAAAAAGGTAAGTGCACCTTAACGTCTTCTGTTTATGTAAGTCTAAATTAAGCTTAAATGATACATGTGGTTTTTTCAGTTCAAAAACATTACCTGGCTTAATTATAGCATTATCTGACACCTTAAATATTGTAGTTTTCTGCTTTGGTGGTACTCCTGCTTCTCTGAAAATCTCCAATGCTGACTCTGATTTCTGGAAAAAAGGACCCATAAAAACAAGTGAACTTAAAAATATGAAAAATGTTTACATCTGTCAGTACTACTTAAAAAAATGGCATACATTTTTACTTTCCAGGAAGACTTTAAACTTTATATTAAAATTACTGTAGCTTCATTTCTCCATGAACTTCCTGTCTTCCATTATTGGTGTTATGCTTAAACAAAGCACGCAAGATCTTTTATAGTGGAAAAGGCAGTACACCACATTTATCGAGAATAAAACAGTAGCATATGCTTTTCAGTCACTCACACACACAATCACCATACACACACAGTCCCGCCAGATGATGTTATAGTTACCAGTCCAGAGTCTGGTACTGTTTCAGCGCTCGAATGTTTCTAAAAGGCAGTTGCTGATGTTTGATAAAATAAAAAAGCTTTCATTTGTAACCAATGATTATTTGTCAACTAAATGAATTTGGTGTATTTTAACTACATAAAGCCTTTGTTTTTTGAGTCTTCTGCTGTTCAGACTCTGATGTGAAATAGATCTTTGTGCTCTGTGAAGCTGAGTGAATGTTGACTTTTATAACATTAAGTATATAAAAACCTCTCTGCAGGATCAGAGCCTTAGATTATGTCCCGACGCTATGAGGTTCACAGTCTTTAAAACTACATACACATTGTGGCACTGTAAAAAGATATCATTAATATAAATGTGTATTTATAATAACATATGAAAAACAGATTGCACTTTAAATTACTCTATAGTTAAAATGTACTATACATAAAAAGTTTACTAAGCAGTACAATATTTGTGTGTATGAAGAAAAAATGACTGGCTTCTCCTCTTAGCTTCAGAAGTTTTAAAAGACCTCTAAGTGTAATGACAGTCTAAATGCACAGTGATCATATGATGAGATGGATGGGTCAATACCAGCCAAATGGAAACCTGGTGTATGAAAACAGAAGTTGAATGTACACAGTAGCTAAGCTGAGATTTTTCTTTTAATGAAACCTCCTAGAAAGCAATTTAAAACAACTGATAGCAGTGTCACTCTTTAATAACATCATCTGTGAGGGGATCACTTTTTAAAGTTCTCTGAAATTATCCTCTCTCTAATAAAAACACTTCTCTGAACTTTCAGACAAACTGATCTAGGATGCTTTTTAAGGCTACTTAGCTTCGTTTAAAAAAATCTGCATTCTTCATTATTTTATTAACTTTATATAGACACATTTTACAAGAACAACAAAAGACATATTATACTTGGTTAGAAACCAACTGATAAAATTACTTTGTTTTTTACTTCATTAGAGGCCAACAAAACAAACATCTTTATGAAAATATTTCTCCTCCACTTAAGTAGGAATGCTGATATAGGTTGAACCTTCCAAATCTGGGACACTCTGGCCTGACAAAATCCATGGTCTGGCATGGGCATGGATGTTGCTGGACCGAAGAGCCCCAGAGCAATGCAGGGGCAGGGGAGCCCCGGCTGGGCCAGGTGGCATCTGGGGATCCCCCGCACTGGCCCGGAACCCCCAGTATTAATGGGGCTAGGGGGTGGTTGGGGAGCCCCAGCCCTGTCCAGGGAATCCCCGGCATCAGTGGGACCAGGCAGCAACCCAGGAACCTTGGTGTTAGTGGGGCCATGTGGCTGGGGAGTCCCAGCCTCAGCCGGGGAACCTCCAGTTACAGCTGGGCTACCTGTGGCCAGGCAGCCCCATCCAGGAACGCCGGGAAACCCCCGGTGGCAGCAGGTCTGAGGTAACTGGGCTGGCGGAGAAGGGTGGTCCAAATCCTCAGCGGCAGCAGGGAAGATCCAACAGCAAGGCAGGGTGGCCAGGTGGCCCCAGTGGTGGCTGGGTGGCTCCGGCCGGGAACCCATAGAAGATATTGTGGCAGTAGGACTGGCAGCAGCCAAGCGGTGCCCACTCAGAACCTTGGGAGACCTTGGGGCAGCGGGCAGGCAGCAGGGTGGAGAGCCGTGCCGGGCCAATATTACAGGGGCCAGTGGCAGGGCAAACAGCCCCAAGGAGAGCAGCTCTGGAGTGCAGCAGCCAGCAGGGCTGACCTTCCATCATCTGGCACATTCCTTGGTCTGGGACAGCTCTGGTCCCAAGGGTGCCAGACTAGGGAGATCCAATCCATACAGGGTTCAGCAATCCATTAATTTTTAAAGGTGATTTGCCAACTTGAATTTGTATGGTAACACATTTTAAACAAAAGGTTTTTTTAATAATTATGATTAAACTATGCATTTTACAGAGCTGGCTGTATTATTGGTTTAATGATTGATCATCTGTATCCTGTACTACAGTGCATACAGAAGCGAAAAATAAAATAGGTATCTTCTTTATCAGACGTATTTAGACTGGAAAGTTACATTATTTTTGTTTAGTTGACCAAAAACTGAATGCTTAACAGTGTATTCAAAATGGGCCCATGAAAAGGACTAACCACTAGATAGAAGTCACCAAGGGATAAGAAAGCTCCCCCCCCCATTTTTCACCAAAACATCTGACTATAGCTTTCTATTGTCTCACTTCAGCAAATGAAACAAAATTTTATAAAGCATTCTAATGGACAAAGCAAAAGTAAAACATTCTTAGGCTCCTTGCAAAAATAGGGGAAAGATTTTTAAATGGAAACATTACAGAGATATTGAGTGTGTTCTCAAGTGAATAGTTTTAAAAGGTCTATTGAAAGCATACTGATTAGCGCAGTACAGACTGTTGCAAAACAGACTACATCTGCAAAATGATTAACAGACCTCAAAACTAGAGTTTGTTTTTTAAAAGCCATTGATAAAACTGTCACTGTACCATGTATTTTGGGAAAAAGATAATTAACTGTGCATTAACAAAAAAATTGAAAGTTTATCTAGTTGGAACACAGTGGCATCTGCCAACCTAAAAAACAAACTCCTAAAAATGCATTTAAAAATTTCAAATAATTTGTCATATAATCTAAATACATAAAACCTTCATTATTAGTGAAATTACTAAGGGGTTTATCAGACAATTCACTAAGGTGAGTCACTGTCAATATCTGGAGAGGACAGATGCTACTACAGGGAAGTAATGAAACATGAATTCCGCCAACACAACACAGGACTAATTTTCCCCAGTTTAGCTTTTCGAACTCACATTTGGAAGAAAACAAGAAAGTGATAAATATAAATAAAAGAGTAAGAAACTTCAAGTTTCAATGTAAACCAGAAAAAGGTACATTATAATTGCAGAGTCCTTAACAAGCATAAACTGCAGGGGTGGGGAACCTAAGGCCCAAGGGCCTGATTCAGCCCCCAAGGTTCAGGGCTCCCTACCAGTGTAGGAAAGCCCACACTGGTGTTCCAGATTACCCTCTGTTCCCCTGCAGGCCTGGAGCACACAAGATCTACTAGCCTGTGTCCCCAACAGTCTGGTATGTGAGGGGAATGTCTTTCTCCTTCTCAGTCAGGGGCCATGTCAGAGAGGGTGGGTTTTTTTGGTTTCTTGCTTTTCACTTGTGTGCAACCCCCAAATGATTTTTCTATGGATCAGCGGCCCCCTGACCCAAAAACGGTTCCCCACCTCTGCTCAACAGAAATAAAATAACTTATGTCATTCTTTTAAGCTATGTAATTTTATTGAATACATTTATTCCAGATTCAACCTCAGAATAAAGATAGGCCCAGATCTACATAAACTTATTCAACTATATCCATTTTAAACAAATAAATGTAACCTAATTAATAGAATTATCTAGCAAAAAGTTCCTAGAAAGGAACACAGATAATTTAACAAACCAGAGTCAACAATATGACATTTTAAAACATTGTGCATCAAAGAAAGCTATACAAATCACAATAAGAGCAGTTTAAATTTGACATATAATTGCGTGAATCCTGTATCTTCTATGGTCAATGCATTATGTTACTCTGCTAAGCAAAAAAAAATACTGTTGAGTAGTCAGGACTACCACACTTGCATTCCTTTGCTAGTGCACCATCAGCAATTTAAAAATTACTACATTCATATGAGCTAATACAGGTAAGAGATGAGGAGTAATTTCACCAAGTGCAAAATACTCACCTAGTAGGGGACATGCACCAGAGAGATAAGACATGTGGAAACTAAAGGAAATACTGGTGAGGTGCATACATGCAAGCATTAAATTAATCTAAGATCCCTCGAAATCTTTCATTTGGGGTTTTGAGTAGATTTCCTGCTTGAAAAAATGAGGTAACAATAGTTTAAGAAAAAGAAATCTAAATGACCTGCAAATAGGTCATTTAATGTCTATTTGTATTTCTTTGAGTCAACCAGACAAGAGCTCAAGAACAATGCAAAGAGATGTGTAACACTTTATGTGAATGAATCATAAAAATGTGCTCTTTCCAGCAAGGCTAGGTTTCCCCATCATGACATAGGTTATTTTATTTTCCCCTGTGATTGGCAAAACTGCTACATTGCTTTGGACATTGAAAACTGACAAAATTCTGCTTCAGACATTTAGAGCTATTTGAATTAGTGGTTTGTGAAACCATCATCAATAAGCTACATTCACAACTGTGCATGTTTAATTCTTCTCTCAGGAACACTATATACAAATGATCACTCTAATATCAGAATTGAAAAAGGACCTGAGAAACTCACCTATTTCAGCGATTTAAATTTGTGGACAAGATCTCAAATTAGGTCCAATGCAAGTTTGTAGGGCTAAACACCTGCTTCCTGTAGTAGCAGTGGATGTATGTTCCCCTTTCCCGTAGTTCCCTCAATTACCAATAGAATACTGTGCATCAAAGCAGCTTTCAATAATACAGCCTTCTACTAGGGATGTTAGTGTATAGTAGCGTAAACGATTAATCTATAAATCTGAGCTTATTGGTTAATACTAATAACTCTCTCACTCTGCCCACCCACTTGCTGCCTCTATATCAGAGCTAAGAAGCGGGGGAGAGGCAGGAGCTCGTGCCCCCGCTGGCTTTTAAGCTAACTCCCCATGAGCACTGGATCCCATGGAGCCGCCTGCTCCCCTCCCCTCCACCCCATGCCTCTGACAGAGGTGCAGCAGTGTGGAGGGTAAAGGGGACAGACGGAAACCAGAACACAGGGAAGCTGGCTTCTCCCAAGTATTGGCTCCCATGGAGCCACCTCCCCAGCCACGCTGCTGCCTCTCCATCAGAGGCAGCAGGATTGGGGGAGGAGGGGAAGAGGCGGGATTCCAGCATAGCCACTGTCAGCAGCGGGCCTGGGCTCATCGCAGAGGGGTGCTGGTGCAGCATCTGTCTGCGGTGAGGTTGGGCTCCGTGCAGACAAGAGGTTGCTGCTACCCCATGCTGCTGCCTCTGTTACAGAGGCAGCAATGCAGGATGGCAGGGGGTCTCCCTGGAAGCGGGGCCAGGAGCACACTGGCTGCCGTCTCTGTCCCCAGGAACCATCAAATAATCATGCAACTGCTAAGATTTGGTATGGTTACACAATTATTAAATTGAATGATATCTAACATCCCTACCTTGTACCATTTCCAAGAGGAAAATAAAGCTAATGGAATTGACCTCACCTCGAGATTTATCTAACAGATTTTGGGGAAGCTTGGGGTGAAGCTTCACCCCCAAAAAACCATCACCCCCCCAAAACACCCTATGAAACATGAGTGTGTGAAGATGAGTGAGACACAAAGATGAGCCTCTGAAAAAGACTCATCATTGATTAAAAACCTATTAATACAGGGGTGGGCAACAATTTTTGATGGGGGGGGCCACTCCAAGAATTTGGAAAATGGTCGAGGGCCACACTCTTCCATGACATTAATGTAGGATGTATTATGTGATGGAGGTTGGGTGCAGAAGGGAGCTTACAGTAAGGGAGGCAGTTGTGACCTGGAGCACTGGACTGGGGTGCAGAGGGTTGGATTGTGACCTAGGACAGGGAATGGATGTACAGAAAGGGGTGTAGGTATTGGGTTGAGCTAGGGCAGGAGGGGACTGATCTTGGGCAGAGGACTGGGGCATCAGATCTGGGAGGGGATATAGGTACAGAAGGGGAGCAGAGGATTTGGTTATGTGGAGTAGGGGACAGAGGTTTGGGGAAGGGAAGGAATGGGGTGCCCGATATATGCTCTGCGAGGAGAAACTTACCAGCCAACAGCAGTTCCTCAATCAGTCTCCCTGCCTGCTCTGCCCCCTCAGAGGCTGTACCCATCTGCTCTGGAACTCCTTGTGCTTTGTGGCCAGAAACCAGGCAGAGGCTGTACCCATCTGCTCTGGAGCTCCTTGTGCTTTGTGGCCAGAAACCAGCCAATGGGATTGTGCTGGGGGCGGGAGCAGCTCCTAGACCTTCCCTCCTCCCCTTTGGACTCAGTTTTTAAAGAAAAACTGCTCTGCAGCTGTGTTTCTGAGTGCCCTGCAGGTGAGGCAAGGCAAGAGAGGAACCTGCCTGAGGCTCCCCGCAGCATCCGCAGGCCGGATCCGGTGGCTTGGCAGGGTGGATCTGGCCTGTGGGTTGTATTTTGCCCAGGCCTGTATTAATATATCACTGTTCTATTTGAAAGCATTTATAATTAGTGATCCTTAAAAAAATAATTCTAACCAAGAAAAGGAAGTAGTACACTTACATGAAAAGGAGATGAATTTTTTCCTCCAACTACTAGAAGAGCTGTTTTTCCATTATTCTCCTCCTTTGATGTGTACTTTAAAACATGGCAGTCTCTCACCTTAAAAAATAAATCACAGTTAAAAGGGTCTGAAAATAGATACATCTGCTCATAGTTTAATTTAAATTAAAAGTACATATTAAACAGTGTTTGCAAAGTCAGTCTCCACCTGATTTTATTTGTCTAATAGAAGACAAAGGTCAAACAAAAGAAAAAGTTAACTATTTACAATGAACCCTCTAACAGATCACTAGAAAGCCTAATAGAAAAAACATATGTAATACAGTATTCTTATGTAAATCCTAAAAGTAAAATGAGAGTAGTTGTTTTTTTATAATCATGAAGTTAAGTACTGTATTAGATAGTACAACTATCACAACTTTACTTTTAGAAAAACAAATTCTTCATTAAAACTAATGTTAAAATTATCTAATACACAGATTAAGAGAAAGAATTTCTATTAGGGATGTAAAATCTCATTTAATTAGATTAACCACTTAAACAGGGGCAGGAGGGAGGCTGTTCCAGTGTGGCCAGGTCACCAGTTAACCAAAATCAGTAAGCATCACCTGGGAAGGATGATGTTTATCAGTTAACCATTCACATTCCTAATTTCTATACTAGGGATGTAAATGACTAGTCAACTACCGGATAAGCATATGCTTATCGGACAGTCAAGTAGTGACACAACTAGTCACCTCTGCTCCCCGCTACCCCTATCAGAGAGAGACAGCAGGGGGGAGGGAGGGAGAGCAGGAGCCAGTGCTGGGGCTGGCTCCACGCTCGCCCAGTGTTCCCCACACCACCTCTCCCTTTGAAATTTAAAAGGCAGAGGCACATCGGGGATAGCGAGTACTCCACCCCATCCGGGGATAGCGAGTACTCCACCCCATCCCTTAATGACTAATCAATGGAAATTCCATCGACTACTCAATTACAGGCAGTCCCCGGGTTACGTACAAGATAGGGACTGTAGGTTTGTTCTTAAGTTGAATCTGTATGTAAGTCAGAACTGGCGTCAAGATTCACCCACTGTTGAAACTGATCAGCTTCAGCAGCGGCCGAATCTGGACGCCAGTTCCGACTTACATACAGATTCAACTTAAGAACAAACCTACAGTCCCTATCTTGTACGTAACCCGGGGACTGCCTGTAAGGAAAAGTCCTTCCCATAACACAAGAACCTAATCTTACCAAATGAAATGAATAGGCAGCAGGTTTTAAACAAACAAAGGATGTATTTCTTCACATAATGCACAATCACCTTGTGGAACTCCCTGCCAGAGGATATTGTGAAGGACAAGCCTTAAATGGTGTTAAAAAAGAACTAGATAAATTCATGGAAGATAGGTCCGACAATAGCTATTATCCAGAATGGAAAGGGATGGTGCCCCTAGCCTCTATTTGTCAGGGCTGAGAATGGGAGACAAGGGATAGATAATTAAATGATTAACTGTTCTGTTAATTTCCTCTGGGGCATTTGGCACTGGCCACTGTTGAAGACAGAATACTGTGCCATTCTCATGTTCAAAAAAACAAACAAAACCCCCCAAACTCTGCTTTTACTCCTGACAACTGACTTTCTTGAATGTTTAGAATTGTTCTGAGGCTTTGCCAGAGCAAAGCCTCAGAAGCGCGGGGAACCGCCGCTGCTGCCGCTTCAGTCCTGGTGCCTGTGGTCTGCTGGGGACGGTCTCCAGCAGACCAGGGGCACCGGAGCAGCTTACGAACGGGGCTTTCTTGCCCCGGAGCTCGCAGGTAGCAATCCGCCACCTTGACCTCCGGGGCGAGAAAGCCCCGTTCGTAAGTGCGGATCCGACATAAGTCGGATCCACGTAAGTCGGGGACTGCCTGTAGTTGATTAATTAAAATTTAACATCCCTGTTCTATACATCTGTTTAAATTATCCAAAAGTACAAAGTTTGTTTTAGAAGTTAAAAATACATACACCTATAATCTAATGCTGGAACATGTAAAGGGGATTCCATGAGTGACATAAATCTGAAAAAATTGGCTCTACACCAGAGGCTCTCGACCAGAAGTCCGGGGCTCCCTGGGGGGAGCGTCAACAGGTTTCAGAGGTCCACCAAACAGGGTTGGCTTTCAATTTAATGGGCAGAAAGATGAAGCCCCAATGGATGCCAGACGGGGGTGAAGCCTGGGGATCAGAACTATGTCACTCAGGGTTGAAGACAATGCCTGAGCAACTCTGCTTTTTACCCCCGGACGCTGATTCTTATATGCAGAAAAACAGTTGTTGTGGCAAAGGAGGGCAGTGTAGTTTTTATAGTATGGTGGGGAGGCCTCAAGGGGGGGGGGAAAGGATTGAGAACTTCTTGCCTACATTTACTTTTCCCCACTTTAGACTTGTTGAGGTTGTTAGTGCTTTGTAATTTCAAGCAGATCTGAGATTATTTCAACTTGATTATGGACCAGACCAATTCCCAAGGCTGAGGAGCCAGAAAGGGAATAAAATGCCACCTATACTATCTCTCTCAAGCAGACCACACACATTCCAGGCAACCTGACAGCCCCTACCCTGAAGAGTTTATCATCTAAAATATAAAAGAAAAGATGCACTGAGCAACCCAGAAGAAGTGGGTAATTTTGTGGTCCCACCTCTTAATAGTCCTTCCCATGCTACAGAGTTTAATTTCTTAATCTATAATTTTTCTTAAAATATAAATTCAACATTTAAGGCCAAAAATTCAAAGCATCTCTCTTACCTGAAGTAATGTGACAGCATGTCTTTCGCCATCCTTGGTCCATAAGGGAGCCATTCCTAACTTTATTGCAACAAGGCCAACTCTCCGGGAACCTTTAGAACAAAACAGACCATAATTGAAATGTAAGACTAAATATCAAACAGAATCAAAGTCTGTTCATCATCAGGGTATGTTATAAGATCTCTCTCTCTCTCTCTCTCCCCCCCCCCAATAAAAGGAATTGAGAGAGAAGAGAAAAAGGTTTTAAACTTGCTGGGTATGTTGGGAATAGAAAGCTTTCTTTAATGTACTACTTGTGTTTGTGCAAAGCAACATGCACTCAGTATTTATTAAAATATATAACTTCCTTGTTGAGGTCACTTTTGAAAAATACAAAGGTGATTTCAATTTTCTGCAGATAATATGAAAATCCAAAACAAAATTAAAAGTATATATAATAAACATTGTTTGACTAGGTTTTCCCCCACTCTAAATATTTACATTTTTATTTTATTTTTAGCCACTGTATAACAAATCTGTCCTTTTTAACGGTTCAAATGTTTGGGTCTTTACCTTGGAACACAGAACCCATGTAAAGAATAATTAAGAAATAAATATTTTAAACGTGTGGGGAAGAAAGAACATCTTCAAATGTGTTATATAATATTTACATATGGTATCAATCGCTTAGTGGCCATTCCAAGCATATGAAGTAGTCATCTGCAATGCCAGAAGCTGGATTTTACCAGAGGCATCTTGCACCACTGCTGCAACTAGGGATGTTAAATATTGGTTAATGGAATAGCTGATTAACCTCATGAATTCTTATTGGTTACTCAACTATTCTATAGTCTCCAGGGGTGGGACCAGCAGTCAGAGAATTCAGGCCCCACTCCAGAGGAGCCCCCTGCTGCCTATGATACCGAGGGAGCAGCATGGGGATGGCAGCAGCCCCTGTCTGGGGGAGGAGGAGAAGCTGAACTCCTGGACTAGGAGTGAGCCAGAACTGAGCTGGACTGTCTGCCCACCTGGTTCCTAATACACTTTAAATGCATAGCTGCAGTGGGCGTAGGTCCCGGACCCCATGCAAGCCAGGACTGAGCCGAGCTGCTGGCCTACCTGCTAAAAAAAATTACTGGCAGGGGGTGGGAGGAAGGAAATGAGTGTAGTCTATAGCATTAAGTGATAAGCTATTGCTTACTGGTTAATTGACTATACTATTACACCACTAACAGCAACAATAAGCTAAGTAATGGACCATCCAAAAACCTAGAAAATAAAATGCATTCATCTAAGTCTGTGTCAAGAGGGTTCTTGTGGACACAAATGGACTTTAAACACAAACTATGCTACCTAGTGTGTTACCTCTTCTATGCAGTGATTGGGAGTAGGAATGTAAAGCCTGTTTAATTAGTTAAACAGTTAAATATTAAGTTTAACCAATTAAGCAGGATCCCATGAGCAGGGGCCACTCCAGCTCCACTGGATCCCAGGTTTGACAGCTTTCCAGCCGCATAGGGCTGCTGGCTCCAGCACTGACAGGGCTGGTGCAGCCCTTCACCCAGGGCTGGGGACTGCTCCCAGGCACCAGTCAACTGGTTATTTGTTTAAATCCTTAACTGGGAGTCAATCTATTGTCCCTTGTAAATCAGGAATGCTACTTGGCCCAAGTCCTTGGCTTCGGAATGAAGTCGTTCACATTAGTCACATCAGCAGCTGTTTAGGTAGTATCATTTGATGCACTCATGGCAGTCATATTCCAGGGATATGGAAGCAAAACAGATTTTGAGGGGGCTGTGGCTGTAAAGCGATGATAAATAAGTTGAAGCTGAAGATCCTCAGGAATAAGAGAGGAACTTGACGACTAAAGAAGTCATTTGCTTCTTGTAAAAGTAAAGAAAATGACTAAGGTAAAAAAGGAGAAACCTCATATGACACCAGTGGGATATTACTTGCACACTGCAACAGCACCATGACGACTAGAGCCTGAGCTGCCTCTCTCCCTATACTAACCTGGTTCCCAGGGGTGCAGTGGCCATGGCTCATCTTTCAGTGGACACAGTTTGCCGGCGGTCTGAGCTCGGTATTCCTCTGCCGTTAGCTGCTTCAGGAACTGGGTGTTCTCATTAGAAAGATGCTCGTCCCACCAGGTGCTGCTATTAACAGGCCGGACTATAAAGCGCCAAGGCCCCCTACCAAGGGAAAGGGGGGGGGGGTATTAACGCGCGCAACGGTTTTAACTACTGAACCCAAACGGCCCCGGCCCGTTCCCCCCTCCCGCCCCCGCGCGTCGCTAGGGAACGAGGCGGCGCGGGCCGGGACGCAGCAGGGCAGCCCAATGAGCTCGGGGCACCAGCGCCCCAGTGACGCGAGCACCCACCGGGCTCAGGGGGGGCTCTGCACGCGCTAGTCACGTGCCCAAG